CTTGTTAACTAGGAATTATCAAGCACATATACTTAAATACTGTGTTAGCCCTAAATGCAGATTCTGTGATAAATATCCAGAAACGATTGATCATCTTGAATCAGGTTGCACAATATTGGCACCCACTGAATATAAAACCCGGCAAGACATAGTGGGCCAATATCTGCACTGGAAAATTTGCAACTTGTACGGGAAGGAAACTGAAAGAAACTGGTATGAACACCACCCAGACCCGGTTACGGAGATAGGACCTGTTACAATTCTATGGGACTACACACTGACAGAACATTCAAAGCCAACCGCCCAGACATTATTATTACAGACTACAAACAAAAAAAGTGCCTCCTTATTGATATGGCAGTCACTGCAGACTGCAATGTATATTTGAAGATATTCAAAAAGCTGTCAAAATGCAAGGACCTTGAAATAGAAATCTCAGTAATGTGGCATATAAGAATATCAACAATCCCTGTTGTAGTTGGAAGCCTAGGATTGGTTGGAAAAAGATTCCAGTAGCCTAATTGAAGGGATTCCTGGAAACCCATGCCTCAAAGTGATACAAAAATTGTTCTCACAAGTACAGCCCACACTTTACGAAGGGCATTATCGATGTACTTTTTTTTTTCAGTGGAAAGTGTCATGGTGCCATCTCTAAACTTTGGTCTTTAGGCCGGCCCCGGAAAGAAATGTGTAAACGCCAGAAATCAAAGGAAATAAAAATAATAATAATCCTTCACAGATACTTAGAAACTAAAGAAGATAAGATGATCATTTGTGTCAAAGAACAGGAAAGTAGTAAGGGGGATGACACCGTGTGCCATGATGTAACATTAATTTCAATCTACCCTGGTTAGTGCAAGGAAAGTAGAAATTTATATGCGCATCCACGTTGTGAGAGAATGGGATACAAGTTCGGAATGCAGTGTCAGATTTCCGGAAAGCTGTACAAAAACTGCTCACACGGCTTCGTAACTTTCCATTTTGGGTACTCCGCAGGCCCCGGGTAATGATCACAGACCCCGCCAGAAAGGGAATTACTGACTGAGGAGTCTAGACTTTCGTTGATTGAACTTGTATTAAATTCAAAATGCCCATGGTTATGGCCGTTTTTATCCCGGCGGACGTGGTTACAGAATGTGGCACAAGGTCAAGCTCTTCCACGTTTTAGGCATGCCTCAGGCGCAAAGTAATGGCCCCAGCCTCCTCTCAAAGGATATATTGTATTTCTTAATCCGGCATATTTTTATTATTAGCTATAAACTATTAAATCCATATTGAAAAATATGGTCATTTATTCATTAGAAAATTGCATTACATATTGGGCAGGAGACTGAGCAGATATACGCTCCGAGAAAAATCCGAACGAGTGAATGTGCTTTAAATGCAAACTAGAACCTTATTGATTATAATGAAACCCGCTCAGATCATGCTTCCCCCTGCAACGAGGGATGCAAGTTCGAATCCTGCCTGAGGGCTCATGAAGTTTTCTCGACTACGCAAGCCGTTAGACGTGACAATTACTGTTCAAAATAAACGGAGATTCTACTTAAATACGGTTATCTACTAAAGTTTGAATAATATATATATATATATATATATATATATATATATATATATATATATATATATTAAGATAATAGACAATAGTAAAACTGTATTGTTAGCAGACGCGTTTCGTTCAATTTTCTTTTAATTTCTTGATGGTTGAAATCCGTCAACAGAATAATAAAAACAATATACGTGTTAGTACTTAACGTAATTTTCAGTTGACAATATGAACACAATAGCGTTTTCTACATTCTTCTCATTTCTAAGGACATTTTGTTTGTTGCTAATAGTTACATTGTTTTCAACAAATTTATTTCGTTTTTGCCTTGAAAAAGTTCATATTGGACGAAACGCGTCGGTAAATAATACAGATCTCCTGTTATCTATTGCCGCTATACATATTAGTATTTCTTTCGGGCAACTCGTTGTGTAATGGTAAGCAAGCATGTCTTGCTGGAACAATTATGACTGAGTAGAGAGTTCGATCCTCACTAAATACCCCTCTACTTTCGACCTAGTGCCACATCTAAGCTACGCTTAGAAAATCGCTATACATATTGTCTTTTTCTACAAGTTAATTCCGAGAAATTTTCCACATATATATATATATATATATATATATATATATATATATATATATATATATATATATATATATATATATATATATATATATATATATTCGAGCGAATGGAAGAGAGCGAGTGATTGTAAAAGAATTACACTTAAAACACGAAATTTGTTTTCGATATTGGCACGTGGAATAGACTTCGCCCTTCATGTTTTAGTCTTAGTAACGAGTTGCGTATTTTATATTCTCTTCAACTACCATAAAGGCTAAGGAGGACCGTCAAAAGTGCATTTACACAAAACGCGAAAAATACATGTAACTGATGAATGTATTTAAAATACACATGGAATGGATGGTAAAAAGTAGTAGTCGAAAATTAAA